TCTACATCATGCGTAAGTATTGAAACCGCAAAATTTTATACTTAGTTTAATTTTGTCGGATAAGCAAGAAAAAACCGATAATTTTGTCGGACAATTAAATTCTCAGATTAATATTGCATTTTTTTAAATAATGACGCTTTTGTCCGACAGCTGGTTATCACGAACCATGTTGTCGTTAAGTCGACATCTTCGGGGCGTCGGACTGCAAACACTTCTCAAGAATTTTGTCGGACAGTAAGTACTTTAATTTCAAATCTTATTACCAAACCCTCCCAGAAAAATCAGCTTGCTGGTTGTCACCAACCATAATGTCACCAAATCGACATATTTGGGGTGGGGGACAAACTCAAAATACCAACATTTTTGTCGGACAAATTTTTTGGGGGGTTTAAAAAAATATCTTTCATTTAAACTTAAAAAAAAAGTGCTGGTCATAACATTCCATGTTTATGCCAGATTGACATGTTTTCCTGAAAATCACGGCAAAACTTACCACTGTTGAATCTCTCTCTTAGTCAAATCTTTGGAGACTCGTCAAACTTAAGCTGCACGCAAAGTTACAGCTTGCTGGTAATCATTTTTTTCTTTGTACGTGGGCCCGTGGACTATAAGTTACGTTCTAAATTCTTTGAGAATGTCATATGGCGTTTGTCAAATTTTTAGGTAACTCGTTTGAACGTGGATATCAAGGCGCCTATATTCTCTCTCTCTTTTGGAAATAACGCAGATAAAGACTTCCTGAGAAAGTTATCATTAAAAAATTTGGGTTTCTCGAGGCACATATACGAAGCCGCCGACGCCTCTTTGCAGCTGCAGGAGTTCTACAAGCAGATTTCCTCCCCGCTCTTGCACGACATAAAATTCAAGTACGATGCGGAAGTGGCGGAAATCACGAGGACTTGGTTCCCCATTTACTTTAGGGGCTCCGAGTTGGTCGTTGCAGGAAAATGCGGAGGTAAGTACACAATTTGTAAAAAAATAATATCTATCAATATTAGCGAGCAACTTTAGTACGCGTGGTGCTGAATATAGCAATTTCTCTAGCTTTGATATGTATAAAAAGTCTCTCCTGTGTTTTAGAACAAATATTTCCGACTACCGTCCACTGTTGTGGACCTCACGGTGCGGTAGTAATAAGCTCAACCATGGAAAATCCCGCAACGTCCCTGGAAAGACTGTGGGCCTACCTCACCGTGAAACAGTTGCTGGATGCGAGGGATTCCGCGGTAAATTCCGAAGAGTTAACCAAAAAGGCCGTTACTTTGGCACTTAAATACAATTTTGTGACAGACGTAACGTGTCTGGTGGTGGTAAAACCGAACGAAACTGCTCTTGTCCTTGAAGATCATGCTGCGTATATGAGTAAGTTTCTATTACCGTTATCTCTCTCTCTTATTTGAAACTTTTTCTCAAGACTTTCTGACAGTCACATGCACACAATATCTTTTTAATTGTATTCTTTTTCATAGTAAGATGTGAAGAAATCACATGTAAAAGTTGCTAATTTTCATGAATAAAACATTCTCAGAAAAACATAAAACATTAAAATATCCTTCAAATATAAAAAAGGAATATAAGGTTAGATGAGATTCCTAGTGAAAGGGCTAAAGATTAACCCTCCATTGCCGCCTTTTGGTCTATTTAGACATCGTTATTAGTATTTGAAATAGCACAGAGAAGTCTTTAGACAACTACCGATTTATTAAAGACAGCTCGCCAAATAAAAATAATCATAAAGATACAAATTTGATAGTCACAATCTATAGAGTAGGAGAAATCCCAGATAAATGCAATTAATTTTTTTATTGACAAAATTGTGTTATTAAAAATAGCGGTAATTTCTAATTATTCTGAAAGAGCGTTAAATTACAAATTGATATATTCCTCAGGATTATTTAGCTTTTATTAATTTTTTTTTTTATAGAAAATGTGTTGTGATGACTATTAGTCCATTCATTACACAAAAATCTTTAATATTAAAAAGAATTTCACAATGTGAAAAAATTCGAAAAAGCCTATAAAATAAGAAGTGACGATGTAAGATCACCTGCAAAATATACAGGGTGTGCCATTTAACACTCCCGCTGCCAATATCTCCGAAATGAAGAAATTTATTTTAGTTTCGGAAATTGGGGTTGTTAGATCCCTCCAATAGCTTCAAATTGTAGTTATCATTGTTAGTTCAAATGTTTCTGTATAGATGGCGTGGCGACACTAAAAAATTTTTTGTTCCCTGGAACGTGGAAATGCCGTCCATCTGAGAGTCCGTTACATTTCGAGTAATTTTTGTAATATAAAGTTAGTCCCTATATTTACTTGTTTTCGAGATATGTCGACTTCAATATGCAATGTATGATATAACAGGAAAATCTATTATATTATTTAAATCACACCGAGACAAAATATTCTTTTAAAGTATTGTTAGAATGGCTTTATTTATATCACATACTAACTAGCAAACAATGAATTATAAAAAAAACGAATTATCAACTACAGAAAAAAAATGTACAATGGTAAATCTTATAAGAGGCAGAGACAAACCGTATTTTATCAAATGTTATTAAAAAATGCAGTCATAGGTGGCTCATGTCATTTGTTTAAATCAAAACAATGACAGATGACACATATTAGTTTTCTAATAATTACAGTTTTATCAGTTTGCATCCTTCAATTTAACTATACTAGTTATAAGATTTACCATTGTACAATTTTTTTCTGTAGTTGTTCATTTGTTATTTTATAATTTATTGTTTGTTAGTTAGTATGTGGGGTGAATAAAGCCATTATAACAATATTTTAAAAGAATATTCTGTCTCGGTGTGATTTAGATAAAATGATATATGTATATATTTTTTTCATTTCTGTGCACCTAATTATAAATAATTTTTAGGAGCTAGAGAAATGGCCCTTTTATGTGCAGCATATCCTGAAGTCCAGTGTAAGTTTTTGTTTAAAAAATATTATAAATTCAATTATCCTAAAAAAACTGAAAATCAATTTTTCACCATTCATAGTGTGAAAACGTGTACAGGTTTAGTAAAATTCAGTTGGTTTCAGAGCATCTCAAAAATTGAGATAGAAAAAACACATTCTTAAGGGTTAGGTACATTTGTTTTCGAGTTACAGGGTGATATTGAATTTTGTAACATATTCTCTGTTGGGTATATTAGAATTAAAGTAAAAATTGATATGTATTGAATTTTCGATTTGGAATGTAATCGTGACATTAATTTTTTAGCAGATTTTAATGTTTCGCAGTTATATTTTTCATTACAAAAAAATTATATCATAAACAGGCCAGTTATTTCCTTTTCTCAGTTTTTGCAATATTCTCTAAAATTTTGCATATCTTGTTTTTCTGCTGCGACTGATTTTGTAAAATGTAAAACTTAATTTTCTATTGAAGTATTTTTTCTTTACTGTTTTAGGTAGCATTCCAAGCAAGAAAAAGCGTAAGTAATATACCTATAATTTATGAATCAATGTCAACAATTCCTTTTGTTGCATTTCACTAATTTTACATTTTATGGTGGAAGAATGATTTTTTATAAATTATGTATTTGTTATTTCTTGTCTTAAAAGGATTACAAAATTTACATTGATCCTATTTTTTTTGTCACGTACTAACTATATGTTTATTAACTTGTTATTGTTTCATTTAGATAGGCCGAGTTTTTTTATTCATCAATCTGATTGTTAGGTATTCTGTACCTGCTACAGATTTATAAAGGGTGTTTCATTAATAATTGTTGGGCATACGCCAACTGGATAATCCTTCGCTCAAAGTATAAAGATTTACTTAACCTAAAATGCTTAAATAAAACTTGTCGTTTTACTGAGATGCGGGGTGTTTTGTTTAGAATTTTTTAGATTATTGCCCATTAATATTTCTTTATCCTGTCGGCCAGAAAAGGAAACATTAAAAACTATGGTAAAACATTTATTTATTTATTCATTTAGAAATAACTGTCAAAACAGGACACAGCGACGCTCCCAATTATAAGGCGGGTATAATACAGATTTAAAAAAATAAATACAATTTACATTAACATAATTAAACACAAATGGAAAATATGTTCGTGTACAAAAAAAAGACAATAAACAGAAAAACTTCTATGTGTAAAAAAAATATATGTAATACATATCTAGCTTCTAAAGAGCAATAATTTGACAACTTGTTTGATTATCAATAACGATTGTTTCTACTCATAGACCACTTGATAAAGTTAAGTTAATGTGAAAATTGAAAAATAAAAGTAAAAATTGCAATTATTTCTAAAAGTTGTAAGCCCTTATAATCCTTACATCACGTGAAAGATAATTAATTTCTGCACAAAAAAATACAGGGTGTTCCATTTAAGTTAACAAAGTTATAACTGTTTGAAGTTATCAAAATGTACAGTCGAAAATTAAAGGACTCGGCGTCATATTTTCTAATTTATGCGTAATTTATGGATATTGTGTAAGGTTGTTCCATACGTGTTCTACTAACATACCGAATCTTAAATCGATATCTAATGCACAACCTTGCATCTGCCAAAATTTTCATAAAATTGTCAATATCGCAAAAACTATAAATTTTAGAAACTAAGTTTGTTATATAAAGTGACGTTAAAATTCCAAATAAAATCCAAAAAGGCAAAAATATATAGGGTGTTCCATTTAAAATAACGAAGATGGCGTCGACATCCGGTATAACCGGAAGTGCTATAATCTTGAAAATATTTTAGTTGTGTTGCCCCCACTGACTTTGATAAGATGCCAATTCACGGTGGGATACACTGTATAGGTCTTTTCCAAATGTGACATTTTTAGGGTTAATAGAACTATGAAATAAAAGCATTTCTCCCTTGCTATACACTAGTGCAAGAAAGGGACAAGTTACATGTCACTTATAGTCTTGCACCACCTATGAATTGTTTTTCTGCACTTAGTACTTGTTCTGATCATTTGTTTACCTTAAGTATTATTATGTTACTTATTCACGTCGTCCGTATGGGGTACATTTTAAAAATAAATAACACCTAATAAAAAAAAATATTTTTTTCACTTACAATTGCAGTAGTTTTGAAAAACCAATCTTTCTTCATTATTAAAATTTAATAACTTTTATTTTTTAATTAGGTATATATTTGGGCATGGGCTATTTTTACCATTTCTGTATGAATTGTATAATTTTCTGTAAATCTAATTAATTGTATAATAATTTTTAGGACTGTTCATGTTAAGTGCAGCAACTCCCAAAATCCGAGGTAAGTTTTTACATTATAAAAAAGTATTAAATTAACTAGCGGCCCGTCCCGGCTTCGCACGGGTGGACATTTATTTTAAACATTTTGGGATATAAAAAATATAGCTCAGGGATAATGTAGCATTCTANGGACGCCGAATCCAGTGGCGTACGCAGATTTTTTCTAAAAAAATCGCTAATATGGATTCTGGATTTTTCAGCCTCTGAATGTGATCTAGTAGGCCTTAGTTTAAAAAAGAACTGGACGGCGCTTGTCCCCAAAATACACTTTTCCCCCCTTTACATTTCAAAAAAAATTTCGTCAAAATCGCTCCATAAATAAAAATGTTATGAGGGTGGCCCGCTTTCAAATGGGTCACTCTGTAGATATAGAAGTATAGATTCTTCTAAAAAAGCTAATGAATGAATCTATTAAAGTGCGAAAAGGTGTAAAGGTTGAGTCAAATTCGGAGTATCTCAGAAATTCCTAAAAATAGAAAAAATTCTTTATCATTTCTAATCATTTTCCTGAAAGAACTTTAAGATTTCAAGTGTTCTGTATTCCGCAAGCTTTATTGTTTTTATTTTTGTTTCGTTATGGCCGCCATATTGAATTTTTGCCACCTTAGGAAAAAAGGGAAACGAAGTATAATTTATGGGGTTTTCGTAAATAGATAGTCAAGATATTGAAAATAATTATAATTTTAATAAAAAATCAAATAGCCGTGTGAAACATTTGAATTTTTTCTATAAATTAATACAATATTTCTTAATTTTAATATTTTTTGAAAACTTCAACACCCTCTTATAAAGCCTCAAAAAAAATGTATAATAAAGTGCCATTATTTTTTGAAGTTCTGTTGACCCTCGAAATTTGTTCTTTTAAAACTGAATCACCCTGTATACACACCTACATAATTGAGGTTATGTGACTGTTTTCCCACAGATTCGGCGTTGAAAATGTTACAATTCTGATCAGATATTCTGCACCTGGTACAGATTTGTGTCGAGTTATGTACAAAATCACTAAATCCATTCAAAATACATTCTTCAGTTTTTAATAAAGACAACAAAAACCTATTTTTCTCATCTATTTAACTTCCCAAATTAGTTTTTTTTCAATGTTTTCTTTTTCACTAAAGTTAATAGTCTCCTCAGAATTGCTATAAGCAAGTAGAATTACGAACATTTGCTTTTATTTCAATAACTTAATCCATGAATACAATAAAACTTAAAATCCAGTAATTTTCAATCACACCTAACTTTATAATAAATTAAAATGTGCCATCTTTTATAAATTCTTTTGTGTTTTTAGGGAGAGAAGCAGACATTTGCTCTTTGAGTCTCGACATTTCTCATGAATCGGTTGGTGACCAACTTGAAGGTTTGTATTGACTTAAATTTACTTGTAATTGAGCATTTAATATTTGAATTTGCAAAGTAATTGATTTAGATTGCAAGTTTAATACCTTTACAGAGGTACGACAAGCATTTATTGCATTTGCGGACAATAAAATAACTCACTATACAGGCTGTTACAAATTCGCTTCTCACTATATAGGGATCTCGGAAACGGTAAGAGATTCGAAGTAGCTTAAATGGGGGCAAAGTTCCATAATCAGGGGACCCTCATTATGCCTCTAAAAAATGGAGGCTAACATGATTAGTTTTCCAAATATTTGAAAACGAACGAAAAAAAAAACGAAATTTTGGAAATCCGTTTTTGTTCCATTTAAGCCTTGTTTGAGGTGATATTGAAAAAATAAGGACACTTTCTCACGGCAACTGTTTGCCCCTAATTATACCGAATGGTATAATTAATTTTTATATGTAAACGTTTCGTCTCTCCAGGACCATCATCAATTTCATTTTTTTAAATACAACCTTGCATTTTTTGCAAGCCTTCAATACTGTACTGCCTTAACCTGAAATAGATTCAGACGTTTTGAAAAATTCATCTTCAATGTACTCGTTCCATTAGCACTTTCGAAGATCATGAATGTTGATTATTTATTATTGTTACTGAAAGTATATTATTTTTTATTAAACGCTTAACGTTTCATCACTTGGCAATGTTGATTTTAAATCTGATGTACGAATTGTATAACCTACTTAGGTACGTTTTATACTAAAATAAATCGTTTTAACCGAAAATAAATACTGTTTTTCTTATGAACGTTTTCCCTTTTGCAAATACAGGGTTATAATTTGAAAATTTTAACTATTTGTTTTATTTTCCAAACTGTTCTCAAACTAAAAAAAGTCAATCACTTTAATAAAAAAAAAAGTAGCATGATCTTGTACCAAGTAAAAATAATTCACATTTTTCCATGAAAAGCTTATAGTTTTGATTGGAAAATGACTTTTTTTGTATTGATATGTCATAGGAAAAATTTTCATATGAAAACATAATTATTTTCAAAAGTACTATCACATACATCCAGGTCCGATATTAAATATGACTCTCCCTGTATACCAGGAGATACAATTTGCAATAATAATAGACTTTTAAATTTGAGCCATCCTTCATCTTAATTATTCAAGCTTTCCAACCCGACGTCAGCAATTTGGTGGTTGTGATATGTTGTTGTGGCACGCATAGACCTTGATACAAAGAAATAAGACTTAGAGTAAAAGGTCTATGCTCATAAGTTCGTTTTATTTGTTGGGTAAGATTTAGGATACATTGAATGGCAGATATATTTTATTTATTTAAATTGAGTGAATTTAGTATCCTTTCTCTGATCATAGCAGGTGCTATTAACCTACATATTGTTGAGAGTGTTGGTTGGAATATCTATCAGAACGATTCTAATGGATGAATACAAAATTTGTATATTTTAGATATGGAGTCTGATTCTGAGAAGAAACCTGCTGAGGAGTTTACAGCAGACCACCCCTTCTTGATCTTCTTGCAAATAGAGAAAGACGATGCCGTCCTGATACTTTTCCAGGGCCTTGTTTTCAAGCCCAGTTATTAATTACGACAAATTTGTCACTTCGCTATGTAGGTATGTGATATGTGGCATTATGTGAGTCAGTTACTGATTTCACAGACCCACCAAGGCAAGTGTTATGGTTTCGTGTGTTTTCTCATTTGAGTTGGTTATCGACCTGTGGGATGTGCTGGTAACCTAATTAAAAATGGCTTATATTTTGCAGCATTGGAAAAAATTAAATATATATGTCACTTAAGGTGCGTTTTCTTGAATTAGTTCTGGAGTGATCAGATTTGATAGTATGACATTTATCGATAAAACGAATTCATAAACTGACACTATAATGTCGTCATATAGCAGGTACATCTGTCAACCGTCAACAAAATAAACAGTAAACAGTCTCTGTTATTGTTCATGTTACCGTATGCAGTAATGGAGTTGTGTTTGGTTCATTTATGGTTAAACGGTAGATGCGTTGTTCTATCCTATACGTATATATCATGGTGAATATTTTTTTATCGATCTGATTTAATACACATCTTAATACACAATTATTAAAGCTGCGTAAGTATTCGTAAATGAGCCTTTGGTAACATAAGTTACATAATCTTACATTGCTCCCTTCCCTACAAATAATTCCAGGCATTTCGTTCCAAATCACAGAACCAGAATAAGAAGACCAATCTGCAAATTTAATTCTGGACTCAATCCAAAAATCACGCCTTTAGATGTGAGATTTAAGATACTTCTTTACTAATTAGTTATAAAATAAATATATTTTATACAATCTTTTATATTTTACTGTTTTTTTTTATGTAGATCTATGTAAAACTTTATATGTATTTTATTAAACATGCATTGAAAAGTTTATTTTTTCCAACATCAACAGACGTTTATTGTTTATTATTTTATACAGCCTGACCAATTTCAGAGGGAAATCAATCAATTATCTTCATTATCGATTCACTGGATTCTGCACCTCTTGAATCGGGTTTGTAGCAGATTTCATGGAAGAATATCTATTGCTAATTGTAAAATAAATGTTAGTGGTTTTTATCATTTTGTTTGTCCTAAACACAGTAGTCTATAGAATATGGAATCATTAACCAAATCAAATATTCTTAACTAATTTTAATTTTAATTGATGATTTTGATTATATCTAATTACAAACAACAAAACTTTACACATAGTTATACAAGCCATGAAAACGTAGGTACACAAAAATTTAAACTACAAAATCTATTTTTTTTAATTCTTGAACATCTCCATTTCAGTCCAGCATTTCTTACGTTGGTTTTGAATATTTTTCGTAACAGTTCTTAAATGTTTAGGGATCAATTTCCTTTTGAGCCTCAATTATTCTTCCTCTGAGCTCTCTATTACTTTTAAACTGTTGTTTTAAGAACACCTTTCATGAAAAAAATCAAAGAAAAAGCATTGGAAGAAGCTCAAAGTTTGCTGACAATTGATTTTAAAAGTGTATCCCGCTGAAACGGGCCTTCTTTTTTGTTGCAGTTCCTAGGAAAAAATTTACTTTAATGAAATGACAGGTAAGTAAGAAGTAAATTTGCAAATTAATTGCTGTTGAGCTCAAACACTAAAGATAAGAAAAAGGCCCGTTAGTTATTTGATAAAAGTAAGAAGCCTAGATGGTTTAAATCTGTACGTTAAAAAACTGACAAGATAAAAAGGGAAATGTATTCCTATACCTATCTTGATGATTCAACTTATCATCCAAATATTTTGTTCAAAAACATGAAACTGATTGTTACTTACTCACAAAATTTAATGTCACAAATTTAGATTTAAGGACACAATTGATGATTTTAAAAGTTGAAAATGCTATTTTATTTTTTTATGCATTTTGGTATTTATATAACACGGTTTAATTTAATGTTAATATTGTAGTACCTAACCTGATTTAAAGTTTTAGTTTCGCAGGAGATTGTGTAGTTCGTCGAAGAAGAATAGGAGGAAATTTTGTAGTAGGGTGCAGGGAGAATGGTCGGGTGTTTCGGTGTTCATAGTTTCAGTTCAGTTCAGATCAGACTGTTCAGAGGAGAGACGTTATGTTAGATAGAAGCGTTTTCGGCTTACGCTCACATTCCTATATACCGCTTTCATAGACTGCTGATCTACACGGAGCATGCATGCAATAAAAGGGGATAGAAAAAACGACCATTTTTATGTACTCTCTTCATCGTTTTCTTTACCTAAAGTAACCTGAACTTTTGTTTACTAAATTGCTTTTGAGGATATTTTGGCGATTTTACTTTTAAATGGGATACCAGTACCAGTTTTTATGAGAATTTAATGTTAGTGTTATTGACTTGTCTTAAGGATTATATTGTGTAAAGAAAATATCGTGTTTTCTTAGAATCTGCAAAAATGTTAGACGATTTTTGCCCACAAATTCAGAAGTTACTTTTTACCCAATATATAAAGAATATGTATAAATAAAGCAGCACAGTAAGAAAGTCAAAGGGGTTTGCATCATGGACGTAGGCTTGAGTTCTTCTAGGGTTCCTTAGGCATTCGACATGCCTTTAGAATTTATAAATTGATTAAACATTTTTCTACGATGCAACAATAATAAAGTATTGTCTGTGAAAAGATTTTATTGCACTGAAGTTCCTTTCAGTGTAAAAGAGAAATTAATGTTCAATCTGATTGAGTAAAATATGTTGATTTTTCAGCAAGGAGACTACAGAAGCCATTTCAGTGATCAAGACATATGCCATAAGATAACATCCACCTTTCACTTGCAACGAAATGAGAAGTTGATAAGTGGAATAAATTCATTATTAATTCCTTTTATGGCAAAACAGCCTCAAGGTTTACGTTGTTCCCAGCAAATGGTAATATTAAAATTTTAGCATCGAGAGATGATTATTCTCAAAATAAAATTGACATTTTCTCATCATTTGATCTTGCAGCGTCTTGCTCGTTCAAATAAAAAGTTGAAGGCACTGCTTCATCCACAGAGAATAATTACACCTAATCACTTTTAAAAACGTAAAATTTACTTTATCCCTTAAAACTTTTAAAGGGCGTAATTTTCTGGAGTCCTATCATGGACCCAGGTGTTTATTACCATGGTACCATCTTCTGGTTTAGTGAAATCACTAGTAAAGTTATCCCTGAGATAATTTCTAAAAGCCTCCGAAATTTAGATTGGCTTCAAGTATTGACAATCAGAAGATCGTCAATATTGTTAAGACATCAAAGACATCTTTATATGTTGAAGCTAAATTAACATATCCTAAGTTTCTATTGAATACATCTTCACTGTAAAGACACAGATCTTGAAAGAAATCAGTCAGTGGATATTTTGATAAGTGAAAATAAATCATTGCCAGCTTGTTTCTTCAGCTTTTCTTGGAAGTGATTTGAACAACTCTGTCTATTACACTAGTGAAAAAAGATATCTTTTAACCCTTTCACTTATTTTTTTATTGTGACGATTGTTTATTGCACCTCCAAAAAAATAGATTTATAATTACATATACAAATACATAGGGTGTCCCAGAATAGATGGGCAATCTCTCGGATTTATACAGGGGTCGTTAAAATAACATGACAAGTTCCTATAAAAAGTTTCCCTAGAGAGCCCCCCTACAGAGATACAAGCCCCTAAAGGCCTAAAGGACGCCCCTGAAAATTGATTTTTTAATAACTTTAAAAATACTTTCTGTAATTTAATTACTTTTAGGAAAAAACAAATGTAAATAAAAGTGGAATTTTTTTAGATAGGCACAGATAGAATGTAAACTTCGGTTTATTTCGCTTTGCAGATGTAAAAAATCATTAAACAAAAATATTTTTTTCTTGAAAACAGTTTATTTTATCGATATCAACGAAAGTGCCTTTTTTTAGTTGAAGGTTCAAGCTATCTAAAAATAATATGTTTGTGGCTTTATCATAAAGGGTTTAAAAAAATTGACATTATTGGGTATGGCTAGTCCATTCCTGTCAAACCAATTAAGCCAAATTGTTTTCATGGGTCAATTTTTAAGGAATCTTATCTGTATTAAAAAATAATTCAATTAGACAAAGTATTTTAAAAGTTAGGTGATTATTTACTTTAACGTCACCCTCCCAAATCTTCACAAAATTTTGTCTGCCCCCCCCCCCCCTATTTTCTATGGTGCTGAACACGAAGCTGAAGTTATTGTTGTGCGGTCGAAGCAAGTTTTCGAGAAAAAAATTTCTAACCAGGATATTTCACACAACACTGTATACTTTATGTACATAACTCTCAGAACATCTGTTATGAACAATTAACATTGTTTACGAAACATATTTTCGCAAATTTCAAGTAAAAAATATGTATTTAATAAATAAAAATTTTGTTGCTTGAATCCGCCGTTTGTTACTACTAAAGTTACTATAATTTTATTTATTAAATTCATATTTTTTTAGTTCAAATTTGGGAAAATGTGTTACTTATATAAACAATGTTTTGATTGTTTATTAAAGATGTTCTGAAAGCTACATAAAATATACAGAGTTGTGCGTTGTGCGTAGTGTTATGTGAAATATCCAAGTTATAATTTTGAATTTTTTCTCGAAAATTGGGCTCGACCGCACAAAAATAACTTCAGATTCATGTTCAGCACCACCGAAAATAGGGGGTAGACAAAATTTTGTGAAGATTTGGAAGGGTAACGCTACAGTAAATATTTACCAATTTTAATAGAAACTTGCCATTCCTTTAACGTCCCCTGTATCCGTCCACATATTCTGGGAGATCTTGTATATAAATTTTAATAATATACATTTCGTTTACAATAATAAAGTCACATAAATGAAACAATAACGCCCTTCTAAAACATGCACAACTCAAATTTTGTTCTACCTAGTATCGTGTAGATTTTTTAGGTTAGGTATGTTAAATTAGGTCAGATGGAAAAAAATAGGAATATTAATCGGTAATTCCACAACCCACAACACAATACAGTTTAGAACAGGCAACAGGCCAACATTGCAACATTTTGTGGAGTTGATTATTCCTATTCTGCTAGTGACTTACCATTTGGATTTACTTATTTAGACTGTGCGGAAATTCGAAATTAATTTTAAAAATCGCAATATTTTTAAATACATACTAACTTTCTATAACTAACCGCTTCTTTTCTTCTGGGTTTACTGGACTATTATTGTTATTTGTTTTGTCACGAATTTCTCAGATGATTTTGAATGGTTCTAGGAACTGTTTTTAGAATTGCGCATTTTGTTTGCGAGATGATCTGAAAGAAAAATAGGTTTAAAGTGGATTAGTCTGTGCTGTTCAATTGTATGGAAATAACGAACGGTAAGTAACACATTATTTATATTAAAAGTAGGTACAACATTTAAGGAAACATGGTCGATTGCAAAGATAAATTAGCATTAGCATAGGATTTCTGCCAAATTGCATTTTGTACTCGGTGATATTTTATTTAACGCGAATTTAACACGAGTTTGTTTTTAAAATAATACCAGTTTCATGCTTCACACTAGAATATTGAATAATGCGTTGTTCATACAGTGCTATTTGGTATTCAGCGCAGATATCTAGGAAAAACCCAGCATCATCGTTACCGGCCATTGCATGGTGGTGATATGAAAATTCCCAGGAAAATTAATTAAGAAATTACAATCACAATAATATACGATAAAAAAACTACTGTATTTGCTGTTCACTGGACTGAGACACTGCTACTATCGTCGCTATTCCTTAATCGTCGTCAAATCGGTATTCATTTTGTAAATTTTGAATAACTGGGAAATTATCTGTAGAATTATAAGTCGCTGTTGAATAAACTACTTTTATCCACAACCCCCTTATAATCGGACTTTTATCCACATATATGAACCGTCTAAAGTTGAATAAAGGAACTTTATTTCACTAGTACAATAATGAAAAAATAATAAACCTATAATAAATCAAATTTAATTTATTTACTTATTAACATTAACATTTACATTTAAAGTAATAGACATTTCGTTTTTTGTTTTATCACATTTAACTTCCTTTTCATTAATAACAACCCTTGTAGCATCGTTACCATCATTTTTGGAACACATAACATCTGCCGAAGTTTGTGAAGAATTTACACAAGTTGCGGATGTGTATTCTTGTAAGGAACAGCTATATTTTCCTTGGATTTTCTTTGTAATATCAAGTTTGTTAGATATAGACTCCGCAACATAACTTTCTGCTACAGAGGAGCTCTTCCATCCACCATGCCGTTTGATGATTGTAATATCAGCAGCTTTATTAGCCAATAAGTTTTGAAGTGCGCCTCATACAATAGCTAGTATATGCTTCTGGATTAGCGATATTCAGGAATAAATCAAGGGTGCCTTACTAATTTTCAAATTTATCAATTCGCAGCATCGACAGGCACCAGAAACCCCCATTATTAGTGCAACCTAAAATAATTCAAAGTTCACTATATACCTAACAACATGTAAAAGGTAAAGAGATATTACCTTAATCATTAAATATTCTTATATACTGCAGCTTTTTTGCTTTGTATCCTCTCGACTCACTCTTCAAATAAACAGTAAGCTTGTTATATTTTCCAATTTTTGTAACCTTTATAGTAGCCTTGAACATCGAATACTTCGACCACATAGATGAAATTGCATCTTTTTTCTTCAAATTTAGAAAACACAATAGCATGACATCTTTATTTATTGTCATTATTATCCGTTTTTCCTTCCATTCGTTAAATTTGGCAAACACTTTTTCATAATGTTCCCTGGATTTTGCTGACAATAAATGGAAAATTGCTTCTTGAACTTCTTCAAAAACAGCTACGGGAACACAATTACTTTCTTGCATTTTTACCAAATTCAGATAGAACTCTTTATTAAATAATTGATTATAAACAACTTACCATAGCAACCAGTAGGTATAACAAAACCTACCACATTTCATTGAGTACTAGTAAGAAATATCAAGTCGTGCAGATTTCAAAAAACACGAAGAAAGAAATCACACAAACGTTAAATGTTAAACATAATAAAAATTATTTTTAACAAAGGAAATGGTATCTTTAAAGCAATATACAAAAAAATGCCTTCATTTGAAAGCAGACTGGTCCAGCACTCCGAAAGGTAGTAAGTGAAGGAAATCCCAAAAAGGACCTTCTTTATAAGTCATTTTTCAGTAATTGAAAAAATAAAATTTGTTTTAAGACTAATTTTGATTATTTATAGTGAAAACGTGGTATTTTTTATTGCAAACGTATTGCAGAATTATGTGCATAAGACAAATCCTATGTACTTTTTGCCGTGGAATCCGAATCTGTTTAAAAATAGGGGTTCCTTTTCAAGATTTCAAAGTTGCCCAAGTAGGGGCAAAAAAAAATAGTATAATTTTATTTACCTAACTGATTCTGTAGGTATATCTAAAAGTAAAAAAAATTTACCATATACACGGTGTTTCGAAAATAGTTGAGGAAAATGAAAGGTATGATTCTTTGCTCATTTTAAGAAAAAAAGTTCTTTTTAACACATATTAATTTGATTGAAAATGTTCAAGAGATTTTTAAGACATTGTTCATTTAAGCTGGGTTACCAAAGAGAATATTACACCTATGACCAATTCTTAGCGATCATTTAATTTCATTGGAACATAGGCGTTTACGTATTGATTTGCTTTTTCTAAATAAAATACTCACGGGACACATTCAATCATCATAGCTTTTAAATTTAGTCAATTTTAATGTTTCTGAAGGAAGAAATAGAAATTCAGAAAATTTTCATAATCCATTTTCCCATACTAATTAATGCTAATTTTGCGAACAGTAAATTAGATCTATTTAATTGCTCCTGTCCATCATTTAAGAGATCTGTGAAAAATTACAAGTAAACATGGTTGGTTCTTAAATGTTATTGTCATCTGCTTTGTATTTGTTTTTATTGTGTTGTTATTGTAAGTCGTGTCATATTTACTTCAATCATATTACTAACTAGTTTTAAGTAGTATACACTTTTAACTTTGTATGTTTTTGTGTTTTTGCTCTAAAAGAGCTTGTCCCGTTTATCAATAAATAAAAATAAATAAATAAAAAATATATTAGCTACACCTCGGAAAAATTGGCATTTTGAAAGCATATTTTAAACCGTCAATGTTTTCTACACATAAAAGGTGCTCATCATTAAAAGCTCTAACGTGAACAATTTTCAAGATAAATGGCGTTTTATGATGGAAAACATGATAGAAATTAACATGATAAAAAAAATTATTTCAAATAAATATCTTAAAAATGGTGCATCTGCGGACCCATTTTGATAAGAACTTTTTTTTCTTAAAATCAGCCAAAGAACCACACCAACTATTTGCAAAACACCCTTTGCAGAGGTAGAAACTAATTTAATTCGTAATTGTAATTCTTACTCTAAAGGCAAAGTTATTAGTTAAACATCAGAAAACCGAATAAAAAAAAATTAATAATTAAATTGGTCCATCTACGCCCTCTTTGTAACATTTCAGGCACCTGTTTTACTAACATTTTTATATATTGTAGATAAATAATATTCACTGCCGTGGAGCACTAGCGATATGGCTGAAATAGAACTCAACTGGCTCACTAGCGCCTTAATCAGATTTTCGAGATGCCTCCATGATAAACTGAAGAATAGAGATGGAGATGATTTATTTTCATTCGTCAGCGTACACGCATTTCTGACTCTGCTCTCCCAGGATCCGTGGTTTTACAGCAAAATAGACATTTATAGAGCCTTGTCTGTTTACGGTAACATTGCATCTATCCATTACAAAAATATATTCGACGTTCTCGGTAGTATTACGGATCTTGTAGTTGCTAATGTGTCTTTCTTGAAGCCATGCCAGGTTGTAGAAGCTTTCAGAAACCGTCTCGTCGATAACTTTGCAAGTGACGTAAACTTTTTGGACTTTACTAATCCAGAAAATGCTACTGCAGCAATAAACGCCTGGTTTCGTGATAGGACTGTCCAGAGAATTACACCACTTAATGGTTTAGGAGACGATGTGAAATTTACGTCTTTAAACGCCATGCGCTTTAAAAGTAACTGGTCAGAACCGTTTTGCGCAAAGGAAACGGCGCCCGCAACTTTTTACTTGAACGAGCAAGACACAGTGCAAGTCCCAATGATGAGGAAAAAAGGAGAATTTTATTTCGAATATGATTCATATATACCAGCCAAAATTTTAAAACTGCCTTTCGCCGACAACGATGTAAGCCTTTTAGTTATTTTACCAGAAAAGAATATACATATTACTGATTTTATTCAACGTTTTTATATGCCCGGAAATTTGGATAGACTTACAATGAATCTGACTAAACGTATGGTTAACGTCTCTCTTCCAAAATTTAAAATGGAGGAGGAAATGGAACTGGATCAGTATTTAATAGAGGTAAGGAATGCAATTATTTATTTGTGACTATTTCATTGTTTTTTTTTTGTTCATTATTATTATTTTTATTTATTTATTCGATATTTTTCCACATTGGAAGGAAAAGGAAATTATTTTAACAGTATTTAAAAATTTTAAACAAAATACCCTTGTCAATAGTCAGTCGAGGGACTGATTTCATTTACCGATTTTAGTCCGATCAGAGATATCTCACTCTGAGAATATAGATAGTCTGAAAAATTGAAATGGGTGATTGGCTAACAGAAAATTTAAAATTTTTGTGTCAACCTGTATTCTAAGCCACTTAATTTTCGTAATCTGAAGATGTTTGAGATGTTTGTGTTGAAGCTAGGGCTTTTACGGCTCCTGCTGCACCATAGTTTTTCTGGTAATTATACAGACAGTCTATGTACAGGGTGATTCACTGTATTTTGACCCCCCCATTAACCTCTTTGTTCTAAGAGTTATAAAAAAATGTGAAATACAAAAATTTCGCTATTTTTATGAAGTTTTCGAAAATGATAGCAGAAAAACAAATGAAATCCAAACAAAATGGCCGCGGATGTTAACTTTGTTAATTTAAATGGAACACCCTGCATATTTTTACATATTTGGGTAGTACGTTCCCTGTCGAGTATGGTCATATAGGGTTTGTTGGGTCCATCTCTAACAATAAGCCTGATAATATTAAAAAACTAATAGAAGGTTTTTCGTTAAGAAAATAAGACATCTTGTAATTGTTAGACCTCTTTCAGACATTTCTGCGTTATTTCCTTACGTAAGGATTTACAGGTTTAGTTATGGTATATTCTGACATATCGGATATTGATACCGTCCAAAATGGGTATAGGTATATTAACTAAATCTCACTAATTAGGGCGTGAGAGGCGTAATTACTCATGGACAATGCTATAAGGTAGGACGTGACAGATGTCATGACAACATTATTATTGTTTGACATTTCGTATTATTATTCCATAAAAGTGGATAATAGAAAATTGAGATATAGGAATTAAAATAGGGTATGGAGAAGAACAATAATAATTTATACTATTAAAAGCACAACGACAATTTTGCAGCTAACAACTATATAATACTTAAATTATAAATATTGCTCGAAATGGCTTCCATTATTTAAAACTCTTATTAAAATTATTGTCCTTTAAAAATACCCACAAAAATGTATCTAAGGGTGTTAATCGGGACTATTTGGTGGCCATGGAATGAGTCCATTTTTACCAATCCAAATATCAAATTGGACATTTAAATGCTCCCAAACTTCCAAGACATTGTGTGGAGGCGCACCGTCCTGTTGCCAAATTATTCCCCCTAATTCCTCAGCAGAAAATTGTTGTTCTATCAGTAGTGCTACCTCCGGAAGAATAAATTGTAGATATATTTCTCCTGTTAGGTTGTAGTAAAAAAATATGGGCCTTACAATTTTATTTTGGAAAATGCCACATCAAACTTTACCGACTTTCTACCGGATTTCTTAATTTGGGCAACTTTTTTTGTTGTTGATTTTTGTTTTCCCACGAATGTTTATATCTCCTATTAAAAACGCCTGCTGTGGAAAATGACGATTCATCTGTCCACATTATGTGTTTAAATATATCAGGATTCTCATCTAATCTCTGGAGCATTAGCTGACAAATTTCTAATCGTTTGCGCTTGTGATCTTTTTAAAGGTTTTATTATCTCACATGCCGGTAAATATACAAAAATGTGTTTTGGCTTGGTATTGAGCGATTTTGATATAATGCCATGTATTCTCTTTTTGCAGCTTTTTTATTTTTATTATTTCTTACATAAAGAGAAAATATTTCAAACTTTTCAACTTCTGTGTAACCCATTTTAATTAAATAATAATACAAACTGTCATACAATAACAATGTTGTCAGTAATTAGGCTTCTCACGACCTAATTAGTGAGATTTAGTTAAAATACCTATACGCATTTTGGACCGTATCAACGTGCGATATGTCAAAATAGATTATAACAAAACCTGTAAATCCTTACGTAATTGGAAATAAGGCAGAAATGCCTGAAAGAGGTCTAACAATTATAAGATATCTAATTTTTTTTTAATAAAAAAACTTCTTTTCGTTTTTTAATAGTATCTCGCTTATTGTTAGAGATGGACTATGCTCGACAGGGAACGGTCTATCCAAATATGTGAGAATATATAGGGTGTTCCCTTTAAATTAACAAAGTTTACCATCCGCTGCCATTTTGTTTGGACTTTATTTATTTTTCAACTATCGTTTTTGAAAACTTCATAAAAAGTCGTGCAACTTGTATTTCACATTTTTTTTATAACTCTAAAAACAAAGAAGTTAATGGGGGGGTCAAAATATAGTGAATCACCCTGTACCTGGTCACGTCTTTGATATGCCCACAGACCACCTAGACTGGCCCTATCTAATTCCAATGCACGGGTACCAGTGAATGCAAAATCCGGGGAAGTGGAGTGTGGAAGGCAATCTGATCGCGCGCATCTTTAAGCAGATCCGGATTAAGTAATATTTTGATTACATATTAAACATATATTGCATCTTATGACAAATATTCAATTTTAAGTTTGTAATTCAGAAAATAGTATATTTTAGTCATATTAAATAAAACTTCAAAATAATTTAAATATATTTATTGTCCTCTAAATAATATTAATTTATTTAATATTTGCCTTTTCGTAGATTTTACCGAATTAAATAGTTTGACTTCATGATTTATCCGTACATCGATATACTTTTCACGTTCAGCACAAGTTCTATTAAATGATTACAATTGTTAGGCAAATTATCAAATTGATGTTCATGCAAATTTTCAAATATGTTCACATTCAGAAAGTTTTTTAATATATGATAAACAGTTTTATTTTTCTGTAGCCTAGGTGTTCTGCTTTCATCATTATTAAAAAATTTCATTAATTTTTCTGTTTCTTGGCATATTACTATGATATCTCGAGGTGGATATGTCAAACAACCACGATATTTAATAAAAATTAATTGACTGTACGAATACTGTGTATTTGACATTAAACTATTTACACAGTCTTCACATTTTATTGGCTTTATTAGAGAACTTGTTATTAGTGTCCAGTCCTATTTTTTAATAGTCTTCGCCCATCTTCGTTTTATGTCAACATTCCTTGGAAATCTGTAAAAATCTAAATATTAGGTTTGAAAAATCGAAGCGTACTTAATTATTAATTAATTTTTTGTCACAAAACTCTCTGATTTTTCTAATCACATTTTGGCAACTCACCTTTTCCAGGGTGCTGAACATGAATCTGAAATTAGTTTTGTTTGCGATTTTTTCAATTGAAAAAATATTTAATTAATTTTCAGCCATCTCGAAATGACGGGAGTTGATAAAATTTCATAAATATTTGAGACTCACATAAAGTAAATAATTACTAAAAATATTTTACAGTAATTTATTCATTATTTTATAATAACAATATCACGTTAATCACTACACTATGTGGGCGAACAAAATTATAAAGCTAACCCTGGAAACTTGTGACGTCAACCGAAAAATGGCGTACATAATATTTACCTTTTATATATTCCTTTTTTTTTATGTACCTAAAGAAGGAAACTTTTCGCCTCTCTTCACCAACTCTATCACTTCTATTTATACAATGTTTTACAATACACTTGCTCATGATAAAACGTCTAATTATCGAAATCACAGCAATGCGTACACGTCAAATGCTAGGACACGACTGAGCGCTGGGCTCCAAATGAGGCTCCCAAGTGTTTTCACCAAAGTCGCTCTATAGGCTTTGTGAGCCATTATGAGAACAATTAAAGAACATAGTTTGACTTCATTTGATTAAAATACCCCGCATACACCATTGGTCTTTTGGAGAAATTTCCTGAAAAATTGATATGTTGTCCCTTTTTTTATTATTAATATTATAATTTTTTTGACATATAATGCAGCTTGTTTGACAATGATTAGCATATATTTAATAGAAATTTGTGAAATGCTCTCACAAATAAAGAATAATGACATTAGAGTAACACGATGTGCACCAAAAGGACAGTTTGTTCCTGTGTATCCGCACACTTGTGGTCTACGTGTGTATTTTCAATAAACACACGAAATTGCATACCATTTTTTTTAATACATGAATTTTTCCAAAAAAGAATTATTATTTTTATCTTAATATTAACGATTTTTATTTATATGGTTTTATATTACCTCTTACATTTAATATACACTTTTTCTATTTATATTTTACATTTAATCTTTTTATTATTGTTTCAGTATGAACATTATTTTACTTGTAAATCTGTATGTTTATCTGATTTAATTGACGAATTTTACTAAAAAATTATGGGATTAAAGATGTTATTTTGTTAAAAAGATATTAGCGATTTTTATTTATGCTAGGCATAAAGTCAATATTAGATATCCATCAGCATGGGTTTTGCTAAATAACGTTAATGATATAGGTCAACGACTCGCACAAGTAAATCCTAATGATCCTTAACTGATTGAAGGTTAACAAATCTGTACAGGGTGATTCAGAACTTATCCAAAAAAAAAATCTGGATGTACAGGGGACCCTTACAAATACAATTTTGTAAATTAAAAAGGGCAGTTTGAAAATGATTTAAAAGTACACTTCTACACGGCACTGGAAACTGATCCACTGTAAAACCTGTCCTCGGACGGCGGCAAAGAGTGATAAAAACGGACAAAAACTTGAAAGAATTTCGCAAGGAAAGGAATAAATAGAATTTTATAGCACCTACTTTATATCAGCAAATTGAACTGCTTTTGCCACTATTAATATTATTAATTAATAAAATTAATTTGTGGTTCAAAACTTTGTCCACCGACTTGTAAACTCATTTGGGCCCATCTTACTCAGTTTCGACGAACTAACACAAATGTTGTCCTGTTTCACCATAACATAAATGTTTCATAAATACAAATGTTGTCTTGCTTTACCATAAATAATAACGATATCCATCAACTGCGAGTTGCTATATACGCAAGACATTTTTGACATTAACTACTAAAAAAAACCTATTGTAAACACTATCGCAACGACGATTGTAAAATCGGATTTCAGTATTCGGAGTCGTTGAGGCCACGTGGCTCTCCACGCGTATTGCGAATGACGCTAGAGACTACAGTTGTCCAGCTATGTAGTGGTTGAATGCACTATAACTTCAATATTTTTTTTCTCGGAAACTATAAGGATTTTACAAACATTTTTTTTACGATATTGCTCATGCTGCATCTATTCCCAAATTTTTTTGGATAAGTTGTGAATCACCCTGTATATAGAGGGCTCAGAAGCCAATCAGTGTAAGTCAGTGAAAATAAAGATTCTCGTAAAGATACTAATAATTATTTTTATTGAGATTTAAGATATTTGTGTTATTTGTAAGTTTGTACTATTTTTATTGTTTTTCTCTATTTTATCATAGTTAACTTTTCTTTCTTTTAACTTTTTTTTATATTTTATTACGAGACCTAACATATCCTGTTATTGGGCATCGCCTGTCGGATGTGTATTTTAAATAAGTAAATAAATAAATAAATATATAAATAAAGTCATATAAATAAAAATCATTATTAACATAAAAAAAGCTATATAGTTTCTGAACAATCTTGTTTTTTCCTCGGGAAATACAAGAAACTCCTCGCTCCAACAAAGAACCACTACCTGCGAGTGCCGCCATGCAAATTACAGTATTTTTTATTTCAGTTGGGGTTAGAAGATATATTCAACGCCTATCTCAGCGGTGTGATCGAAGATGAGGACCTTATGTGTAATGGAGTTCAGCAAAAAGTGTATTTAGAGTTAAACGAAGAAGGATTGGAAGCAGCGTCAGGTAAAATAATTTATAGTTTATATTGTGTGATTTAACGAACCAGGAAAATATTCACAGGAACCGTGTCAGCTTTAACCAAAGCCCACTTCGAAGAGGTAAAATTAAATACCGATAAATTACAATGTAATACAATTGTTTTGAATAATTCTGCAGTTGTCCCCCAAAGATGGGTTAAAAATCCAGGAAGCAAGTATATCTACCGAAGTCACCAACCGTTTTGCCAAGACAAAAGTGGTGTGGAGAGTAAATAATACCAACAAGATGGCGGCAGATGCTAATTTCAAAGTGGTCCTAACAGACTTGGCTTTCATTACAGAATTCGTAATGGACATCAACGGCAAAAGTTACAAGTCTTATATAAAAGAAAAGAAGGAGGCTTGGAGTATCTTTAAGAAGGTTTGTATGTAAATCCATGAAACTTTTTCTCTAAATGTAAGAAAAACATTACATTAATCACAAGTTTTGTGAATTTGAACTAAACTGTCATTTTTCTGACAAACAGTATGAATGACTTGTGAGACTCGGATAAAGTTTCTAATAGATATTTGTCAGATAACATTAATTTTTTTAACATTTGAACATTTATTTCTATTTACTCCACTATACACTTAATAATATTACAAATGTTATTACGGTACTATGATATTACTTATGATGGTACTTAAATTAAAGCCAATATTAAATATGTTAGTGTTACCAAGCCATGTTCTATATTTATAAATTACTCAATCAATATAAAAGTAGGAAATAATTGTTGCTTATGCAGCTTTTGAAGAGGGAAAACTTTTTAAAATTTTTAGTTCTTAATTTTTAAGGCAACTTCTAGATGTAATGCAAATCTTAAACCTATGGTTTTATAGCAAAGTGGCGTTTGTACTACTTCATTTGTCATCCTGCGTGTTACCATAGTATTTGATACACACTGTTTCTCTTTTTTATATACAAATATACATAAGGAATGAAAGTATAATGATCTAATGCCACGGATCTATCTGTTTAAAGTAATCTTGTGGGAGAATAATTTTTTTATGTCTTATTCTCCCAAAGGCTGCACACTGTCCCAGAAGATGGCAGGGGTGTCCTCCCCTTCGCCACATTTCGGGCATAGAGGGTCCTCCTCAATCCCTATTAAGCTTAAATGCCTCCTAAGTCTGCAGTGGCCTGTCAGAACCCCCACCATTTGGTTTAGGGCTCTTCGACTGAGGCTCAGCAGCCATCTTGTCTTGGATTTGCTAGGTCCACGTATAAAACTATGGGCCTGCCTACATCCTCTATTTCTGCTCCAATCCTGACCTAAAGTTTGATAGACCCATTTATTGAGGGCCCCATTAATGCTGCCTCGTGTGATACCTAAGATTAGTTCAGGTCTCTGTCCAGGTCCCTTGGACCCGAGACGAGCTAATTGATCCGCCCTCTCGTTACCAGGGATGCCCATATGGCCTGGGACCCAAACCAACTCTACTTCTCTTCATCTGGCCAATGACTCTAGAGTGCCTCCACATTCCTGGACAAGGGCAGACCTAGTCCTCGGGGAAAACTGATAGAATCTATAAATCAGTTTTCGAATCTTAACTATTATTAAATTATTTATCTGTTGTTCCCGTTGAATATTTTTGTCAATAGTGATACCCAAATACTTTATAAAACTTACATATTAAAACAGTCAATATTACCAATATTTAATTATAACTGATGGTCATTTGACCTCGAACGCTTTCTCAAGTAGTGATGGGAGATATTTCACTACTTGTGATTTAATCACTGATATTACCAAAACCGTGACCTAATCACAGTTTAGTATGAAACTGAATGAATATTTGATACTTGAATGTGAATGCACGAGAATGAGTTATATGATCATCTACCTAATCTATGGTCTGTGGGTGTGATGTGATGTGATAATGTGATATGATAAGGAATAATGATAATAGTAACATATTAGTCACGTCACGGATTGCGGATATTTGTCGAGTTATCTTTTCCTGTAGTTTCATCCAATTTCAGTCAAATTCGTTCTTTTATGTAATGCTGAAAATTTTGCACATTTTTTTTCACCGCTAATTTTGCAATGTAAAAAAAATTTTGCGAGCCTTCGCAAAAACCTATACTTGTAGCAAATTTCCTCAGGAACAAAATCGATAAGTATACCTCATATCGATTAGAGGCTTATTTTCGGAGATATAAGCGAACAAACCGAAAAAAAAAAATTATTTTTTTTTTGTTATAAACAATATGACGCTCGACCTCTACAAATACACAAATTTAGGCTTTTATTCTGTGTATTTTTTACTTAATTTTAAGCCCATAAAATTCGATGCAGGCCCCATTTTTGAAAATAGACCTAATTCGCCCGGACTATAGTTCATCAATGTGAGACTTGCATTCGAGCCGACCGTAGACATTTTGAACAATTTTTATAGTCTGATTTGTTAATTTGGTTTATAAAGGTTAATTAATGTCTAAACTTTAAACACAAATAATAATTATTGTTATAGCAACCATCATTTTTATTTATCAGGCTACTTTGATTGAAATATGAAAGTGTATTTTTTAAAATCCTTGTTACTTCTAAACAAAAGCAAATCGGACCTATGTTCATATAAGAAAAAATGTTTGAAATGCTGCCATCTGTCAAATTTGTCATAGAGCTTGTAGAACACCCTGTAGATATTTTTAAATATACAGGGTGTTAGGGAAATGACTCTCGTAATTTTACCGGGCGATTCAATATATCAAGCTAAGCAAAAAAGTTTATTACTACATAGGTCCTAAAACCAACCGTTTTCCAGAAAATCACGTACAAAGTGTTAATGAAATTTGGTATGGTTCGGCAACAGCGCATCGGAACTAAACATGGGTTCTGAATGAATAAATCAGTTGTAAAAAAGTAATCTGAAAACCTAGACTATTAAATTTATGGCTAACGCACCATTATAACTTATTATTTTCGGAAAATTAATTATTGCTACAATTCAGAATTGGTTTTGATAACATTACATAGTCAGATAAATTTTAAAAAATTAAGTTCACTTGAGTTCTTTCGTTTTATTTCAGCTCAGACAACTAAGAATTACTAATTATTTCTAAACACTTCAATAAATGTTCAAAATGTCTGCCTTCACTATCTAAACAACTCCGACACCTGCGAATCCAGTTTTCACGAATTCGTTGGAAAATCCCTGCCGTATTACGAATTTGATCGGCTGCTGCAAAAATTCGTTCTCGAAGATTATTTTCATTTTCAATTTCGGAGGAATACACGATATTCTTCATATGACCCCAAAGGAAGAAATCCAATGGATTCAGATCCGGTGATCGCGCCGGCCAGCGATGTGGACCATTTCTGCCTATCCACTTATTTGTGAAAGTGTTGTTTAGGTACTGCACTACTGCACGACTTGAGTGAGCTGGTACCCCATCGTGTAAATACCACATACTTAAACGTGTTTGAATTGGCACTTCCTCTAATAACTCTGGTAAATTGTTCGTCAAAAAAGCTAGATATTCTTCACCAGTTAATCTACGTGGTAAAATAAAAGGCCCTATGAGGAAGTTACCTATTAAACCGGCCCAAACGTTAAAAGAAAATTGATGTTGCCTATTCCTTTGCACAATAGTATGGGGATTTTCTTCAGCCCAATTATGTGCATTGTGAAAATTCCAAATGCCACTGCGCGTAAAACAAGCCTCATCTGTTGACAAAATGCAGGAAACAAAATTGCGATCTCGTTCACTCTTGTTAATGAACCATCTACAGAAATGTTCTCTTGGAGGAAAATCAGCTGGTAAAAGGGCTTGAACTCTCTGAACATGATATGGGTACAACAACTGTTCTTTCAAGGTTCTGTGTACACTCCAATGAGACACTCCGACTTGACGAGCAATACTTCTAGTACTGCGACTGGAATCTGCTGCTACCAATTCTAAAATTTGTTCTTCAGTTTCCACTTCGATTTCTCGCTGGCGGCCGCGATTGTCATTTTTTGGAATAACACTACCGGTCTCAAGTAATCTTTGGGAGACTGCTACAAATGTTTCACAAGCTGGTAACTGTCTGTCAGGAAGCCATAGTTCATAAATACGTCTTGCTCGTTGAGAGTTACACCGAGCTTCTCCATTAATAAGAAGCATATCGTGATATTCACGCACAGAATACATTTTACTTAGCTTGTCACAACAACACAACAGACCGACATGTAAATTAAGAAATAACTGTAAAGTAGATTTTTGACAGCGCGGGCGTGTTGATTGATTCGCAAATAAATCATAAGTACGGTCGCACTGGTGTACCTACCTATGCGGCATTGCCATGTCTCAGGCCCTACAATATTATTTATTTTTATTTAACAAATGTTCGTTGTAGTTGGATGTAAAGTGTAATTTTAAAACTAAACAATAAAATAATGATAACTTAGATGCAAATCATTAATGTTTTAAACGCAGATTTGCTATTTGAGGCAGATTTACCGCTGATAAATTGAAAGTATTATTTATTTTCTGGAAAACGGTTGGTTTTAGGACCTATGTTGTAATAAACTTTTTTGCTTGGCATGACATACTGAATCGCCTGATAAAGTTACGAGAGTCATTTCCCTAACACCCTGTAGACCGAAACAAATAAAGATACAAAAATTATAAACTTTAGCACAAAAATTTAATATGCGCCTCGGCTGTTCTCATCACCTATATATTCGATACAAATCCCTTTTGCTTCATATAAAAGGGTACACTATATTGTAATATCACTCATTTTAAACGCTTTGTTTCTTTAACTTTTTTAAAATTTATCATAGGCGATGGCCCTTGGGCAAAGTGCGGGTCTTGTCGAGGCAACAACCCGAGACTCCAAAGAATTTACAGTGTCTGTAAATCTAGAGCCTAACTCGGTGGCCATATTTACTTTAACCTACGAAGAGGTGCTTCAGCGAGTCCACGACCAATACGAACTAGTGCTGAATATTTGCCCAGGGCAGATCGTAGAAGACTTGAGTATCGAGGTAACAGACTAAATACTTCAAATTATCTTTTAGTTTTGTATAATCACTACCTACCGAATTTCGTAGGTTCGCATTAAGGAGAGTCGACCTCTCAAATTTGTAAAAACGCCACCTCTGAGATCAGGGAACGACATGTCTACGTCGGAGTTCGTCCAAATTCTTGATCCTCTATCTGATATTAAAATAATAAATTCAAAAACTGCCGCCGTCAAGTTCCACCCTAGCACCACAAGGCAAAGAAAAATGACTCACTTTTTGGGGAATAAAACAAACGATGGCTTGTCAGGCCAGTTCGTTGTACAGTACGACGTAGAAAGGGAACCCCTCAACGGAGAAGTATGATCGAAATATGCAGTGTAAACAAAAAATTCACTGTTTCTTTTTAGATTCTGCTACAGGATGGGTATTTCGTTCATTTCTTCGCCCCGAATGACTTAAATCCGTTACCGAAGCATGTTGTTTTTGTGTTGGACACCAGCGGGAGTATGGGGGGAAGGAAAATTGAACAGTTGAAAGACGCTATGATGAATATCTTGAGCGATTTACAGAAAGAAGACATGCTGAGTATTATCGAATTTAACGATAATATTAACGTGTGGGATGTTGACTCGAAAAAATCAGCCACTGTGTCTCAGGATGAAATAAAGAATTTCAAGAATCCTTTTGTTTCTTTAAAGGTAAGTACCAGCTACTGCTTTGTACTGTCCTGCAGATCAACTCAACATTTCGCATATGAGTCACTTCAAAGGTGATACTTATTTCATATCGTCAAATGTCAACTTTCTTGAAACGTATACCTACTTGTTTTTTCATAATATCACTGAAATTTAACAATGAAGACACACAAACACACCATACCATCAATAAACACTGAAATAAATAACTTTATAAGGTTAATTTACACGATACAAAATATTTCACTTAGACGCTTTAAATTTTACTGTAAAATTAAACTTAATAAAACGCAACACTGCAGTAAATAAATATTTTGATACCAGTAAGAACTAATACCTCATGCAAAAATATACAGAATAACAAATTTCTTCCCATTAAAATAAAATAAATGTAATTAAAATGAAATGATGTCATATCACTTCAGATGGTTGATATTCACCTTTAGACGAATGGGTTGTCAAAACCAAAATGGTACTTATAAAAAAATATTAACACTCTATTAAAAACTCGAAATTATTAATAAAAAAAGAATGTTTCAAATATATAGTTGTATTTTTCAAGAGACCCATTTCAATCTTTATTGAACTATATTTAAGGAGGTTCGATACCGAAAAATAAAATGGTATAAAGTTTTCAAAATCATTGAGATCTGTTAATAAATATGCAAACTGCCTCTTGTAGAAATATCAGTCGTTGCCAATATAGTTTTATTGAAAAATAATATTAAAAATTATGCTCTTATACACAGGCTCTTATGCGAGTTGGGAAAAAACTGTAATCAAACGTTTTGCTCTTAAAAATGGTTAGGATCGGGAAAATAAAATTGTAATTAAAGAATTAAATATCACCAAACATTTTAAAACAATAAAAATATGCACTTACAATGTAATTATTGAGATAATGGAATGAATATATAACGTTTTGACAAATTTGAATAAACATCTGATCCGTTGAAAGAAAATATGGCAACACTGTATGCTGTATTTAACGCTTCGACTGACGCGCTAGAAGCAGACACACTTATATGCATTCCCAAAGGATTTTGGTGCGCTGAATCCAAATCTGGCCGCAGAATTGCTCTATCACGTCAGGTTTTTGAGATATCCTAACCTAAAAGTGCAAAAAACACTATTTTACGTCATATTTGAGGTTATGTAGTAATGCCATCTACTCTTTTTAATACTTAATAGAAACAAGATAATAAAAAATGCATACGGGGTCTGCTATAAGAGTTTGCCGATTCGTCCCATTTTAAAAATGCCAATCCACCAGGAAAGCATTTTTGTACAAAACTCGTTAAATGTCAGATGTGACGGTAAAATATTGCCACACGAGTTTAATGGGAATGCCCCATATAGACAAGCGGTTAAGTAGTCATATTTCAAACAAAATACGATTCAGATCGGAAACCTTTATCTTGCGTCGAGTGTACATGTTCTGTAGTACATTAAGTGGAACATCTTCTAATAGATTTTGCAAATAATTATGTAGATTTAAATATACTTATCCTGTAAGATGACCATCAAATATGAATGGACCGATTAATTGATGATTTAACATACCATACCACACATTAATGGTGATTTTATGTTGAAAATTATATTCTGCCGTAGTGTGAGTATTTTCATGTTCGTTAATACCTGACGGGGTGCTTTTGCGAAATAACGGTGGAAAGGTGGCATTTTTGAAGACTATGGAACCTATCCTACCGTTATAAATAATTTAATAAACATTTTAAATTGAATATTGTTTATCCCTGTTATGTAACGGCTGATAGTAAGAACCATGTTTATAGAAACTTTTATGTTTATTTTGGATCCCTGAATACGTCGCTAATATATTGACATTTCCTCCTGAATCACCCTGTATATAGTTATAGCCTAAGAAGAGGTGCCAAAAAAATTCGGGTAAAAAGTTCATCTGTATACAAGGTTTGTGATCTACTCCAAAATAGTATTTATATATTAATTAATTCCTACTCACTATTTTGTAATGTATAAGATATGCAGAACAGCTTAAATGGGCAAAGTACAGCACTATTCAATACTTATTAACATACTAATAAGAAAACAAGTCTTTATTTCAGTTGGGCTTTATTCGGAAAAAATCAGCACTGGCAAAAACTTTATGGCGGCCACTATATAATTTTTGAAGTAACCATTATTTGTTAAAATTTTAGAAAACATCGATGATTGAAAAATGGAAAACCTGGAAATATCAATGAATTATTTGATCAAATTATTTATTACCTTAATGTTTTAGCCTATAATTTACTGTTGTTTGTAGCGGTGTATACTGGCGGATCCACACCTCGCTAGCGATGACATTATAAAAAACGCAAAAGAAATCGTTCAGAACATTAAGATTAATGGATTTACCTTCATGATTGGTGGCTTAGAAACGGCTTTGTATTTAGTAAAAATGGGACAACAGAAAGACAAGGTTAAGGATCGCAAACTTCAGCCCATTATAGTATTTCTAACCGATGGACAACCGAACGTCGGTATTGAATCGACAAACCAAATCATTGAACTAGTAAGTTACTACGTTTTAATGATTCTAATAGTTCTACTAGTTGTGTCCTTAATCCATAAACGTCAAATGTCGTATGTGTAATTTTTATTTTTAGGTGACTCACCTGAACGCGAAAGACAAGGTGCCTATTTTTTCTCTGTCTTTTGGAGATGGCACAGATGAAGACTTCCTGAGAAAGTTATCTTTAAAAAATTTGGGATTTTCAAGGCACATATATGAAGCCAACGATGCCTCTTTGCAGCTGCAGGATTTTTACAAGCAGATTTCTTCCCCGCTTTTGTACGACATCAACTTCAAATATGACTCGGAAGTGGCGGAAGTCACGAAAACTCAATTCCCCATTTACTTCAGGGGCTCCGAGTTGGTAGTTGCCGGAAGATACGTGGGTATGTACATGATTTATAAAAAAAAAAACTGACAATGTCCTTAAAAAGAAAGTAAAACATATATCTAATATATGAGATATACTTTGTAGATTATATCTCATCCACACTCAAAACGTGTTGATCTAGTCGTCTCACATATGACATACTGCTGAGAACTACTAAATTGAAACCGGTATATGTCTGGTGGTTCTTCTAGTTCTGTGGCACAATTGTGCATTTTGCAGATTGAGATTGTTACCATGTTATGCATTAATGAGATTTATACCAGAAAAGATTCTTGGGAAAATGACTGTAGAATCCACGTAAAAAACCCTCAAATGACCTTGAGTTGACCTTGAATGATCTCGAGGATGCATGCAAAGTAAAAATAAACACCGGATTCGGATTCAGCGACCTCAAAAGCATGTCCATGAATTTTTTCAGATTTTTTGAAGGTTTTTGACCATTTGACTTTCAAATGACCTTGAAATGAGGTCGACTGACCTCAGGTTCAGATTCAGGGTCCTCGAAAACATACGTATGAATTTTTTCAGATTTTTCGGATGGTAGTTTTTTTTGGAAGGTTTTTTGACCGTTTGACCTTCAAATGACCTTGAACTTGACGTGATGGAGCCTAACCGACCCGCTCATCTTAATCAGCGACCCCAAAAACCCTTGGATACCATCTTCGATTCCCATGCACAAGCCTAGATAAAATGTTGATCTGTGTAATTATTGTTTAGTATTGTATCTCCCGTATGTACGTATCATAGAAGTACGTTGTTCCCAAATTTCTAATGCAAGACAGAGACAATAAAGTAATAGTCAAGACAATCTTAGAGCCGCAGGCTTTGCGCACTTCTTATGGCGTTTTTTTATTCCCTTATATCGATGGCATAAAGCATACAAATGATATGGGGGGCGGAGTCAGAATTGTTAGGGGAGACTGGTGAAATATTTATATAATCTGCTAACTATACAGGGTGAGTCAGTTTTTTGTAGACAAACTTTAACAGGAGATAGAACACATGTTTTTTAAAAGAAAAGTTCCTGTAAACATATGTCGTAGAAGGCTTCGTTTCCGAGATACAGGGTGTTGAATATAATTTTTTTTTCTCGAATTCTCATTATAACTTATAAACGAATGCTTAGATTTTTTTCATGTTTGAGGGATAATGCCTGTTAATTAAGGGGCATAAAACAAGCGATAAGAATGTTCAAAAACTTGCACAGTGGCGGNTGTCCTTAAAAAGAAAGTAAAACATATATCTAATATATGAGATATACTTTGTAGATTATATCTCATCCACACTCAAAACGTGTTGATCTAGTCGTCTCACATATGACATACTGCTGAGAACTACTAAATTGAAACCGGTATATGTCTGGTGGTTCTTCTAACGAACAATCTTAGCTGTTTACTACATATTGGGAGTGTAATTTAATGTTGTACGGAGCGTAGTTCACATAGAACTTCATTCTCATATTCTGCAATCGTTTGTTTGTGACTATTTTTAGGATTATTATGTTTCTTCGGTAAAAATTGTATGATTCTATGATGTTCCAGTTTCATAAAACTCATTTCTTTTCTGTTTCAAAACCTGCATAGAACAAAATAGAGTATTTTCAGCGTGCTTTATGCTCTAATGTCAGCATTGTTTTTTAGAAGAAACATTTCTGATTACCATCAGTTGTTGGGGCACATGTGGTCCAATAACAATAGGATCGGCCAAGGAAAGACCCATAACTTCCTTAGAAAGGCTTTGGGCCTACCTCACCGTGAAACAGTTGTTGGAGGAGAGGGATACATCAGCAAGTCCTAAAAAGTTAACCAAGAGAGCCCTAAAATTGGGCCTTAAATATTCTTTTGTGACAGACGTAACGTCCCTGGTGGTAGTAAAACCAACTGAAGAAACTTCTATGAACAGTCGGCCTGGTAAGTATCTAGAAATCCCCGAACTTAATTTAGGTATTAATGGGTAAAATATGGAATTTAATGTTAACATTTTCTTTGTTATCTATTTATTTGTTCATAAACCTGAGTGTATGGCAAAAGAGAGTTGTGAAAAAAAAAATCGTAACCAATCGGGTCATTTTTTAGCTCAAATTGTAGCTGAAGAACACCTCTAAAAAGCTGGTGTGGTTAGATGAAAAAATCCAAAATGGCGGTCAAAAAACCAATTTGATGACTGAATTCTTGAAAATCAACCGATTTACATCAAACTTGGTATATGGGAGTTTTTGAGGTGCTGATTACGAATCCGAGGTCAGATTTGCAAAATTCAAGATGGCGGATCCATGATGGCGCACAACATTTCGGAAAACCGAACGATTACCACTAAATTGGGTATATGGGGATTTTTGGGGTCGCTCATCATGTATCTTAGGGTGGATTTGCAAAGTTTAAGGGGGCGGATTCAATATGGCGAAAGATTTTATCCGTCATACTGGATTTGTCATTTTTTAACGACCTCCAAAAACCCCCCCATATACCAGATTTGGTGGAAATCGGTTGATTTTCCGAAATTTCGTCCGCCATCATAGATCCGCCATCTTGAATTTTGCAAATCTCTCCTCGGACTCGTAATCAGCGACCTCAAAAACCCCCGTATACCAAGTTTGGTGTAAATCGGTAAATTTTTTAAAATTCAGTTACCAAATCGGTTTTTGACAGCCATGTTGGATCCGCCATTTTGGATTTTTTCATCCAACCACACCAGCTGTTGAGAGGTGGCCCTCAGCTACAATTTGAGCTAAAAAATGACCCGATTGGTTGCGAATTTTTTTTGTCACAACCCTTTTTTGCCGTACGCTCAGGTTTTCTCCAGCTTCCGGCCGCCATTGGGTCCGCCATTTTGGATTTTTGAAAAGTACCACTCTGCGTTTGAAAACCTCTTACTAGACAAACATTTTGAGCCCTTACATGTCTTGATCGTTCCACGTAATTTTTGTCCAGGTCGGTGATCCGCTTGACATGAAACATCCCTTATATGTATTTAAAGGGATCTACATCACAAAAATATTGATAATAATGGAATACTAAACCATGCTAATTATTGCTAAAACTCAAAATTATTTTTGAAATAAAAGTTATTGTTAGTTGCTATTATAAGGCTTCCTTAGGTTGTTTTTTTTCTTAATAAACCACATCTTTTGATTGATTTCGAACTCTATATTTTGAATATAAATGCTTCGAGACATGTTTATGCAATTTTTTTCCTGTTAGTTTGTCATGTATAATCTGCCGTTGAAGCATTTAAAAATGTAGATTCCTTTCAGTTTCTCCAATGGGGCATATAATCAGGATAATTTTTTCTCAAATTTTTTTCAAACGTTTTGTCGGAAAATATATTTTGGCTGAAACCAAAATTTGAGTAAATGTTCTGTTTCTCTTTTTTGCCGATTAAAACATTTGCACAATGTCCTTAAAAACTAGTAAATTAGGAAACGAAAGTGCAACCTACAAAGTTTCTGTCACTTAAAATTGAATTTTAAAAATTATAACGACATTTTATGTATCTCTGTGGCAATAATGTTCATAATAAAATACCGGTCTGGCCAGGTAATTCTTTTGCATAGACTAAGTAAATTACACGCATCTCCAATATCAATTTCGAGTGGAAGGGGTCGGACATGACATATATCATCGAGTTGCGACTAGGACTCTCGTAATTGGTTGACTGTGGGAGCGCACGTGCCCTGTTGCATTTTTTGTGAACCGAACAAATATCTAAAGCGCTTTGCTGTTTGTTTAGTTTTATTTTTATTATTATTCCACTTAAACCTTTGGTAAGAAGTAGACGGAATATTACAAAATAAAAATGGTGTATAGTGTCGAACAAAGAAATAATATTATTAAATGGTATTGTCGTGCAGAAAGTGCAGAGGAAGTTGTTGGTCGATTTATGTTTTCATACCCCGACGAACCAGTCCCCACTGTTAGAACTGTTTTGAATATTTCTCATAAGTTTGAGGAGTGTGGATGTGTTAATCTGTGTATGAAATGTAGCAATCGGGAACCTCGTCAAATTTCTGAAGCAAGGAGAGAAAAAGGGGTTAAAGTCTGTGCTTTTGTGGAAATAAGTGAGCCGTGTTCTTCCTCCCAATTTCCAAAGAACTTGACATTCCAAGTCGTACAGTTCGTCGTATCTTAAAAAAGAATAGTTACAAAGCCTATAAAATGCAAACTTCTCAAGAAATTATTCCTGGTGATCAAGTAAGGCGTACTGAGTTTAGTGAATTTGTTAGAGAAAAAATAAATGAAAATAATGAATTTGCTAGGCAGATTTTATTTACAGACGAATCATCTTTTTCCCTACTTGGCCGTCATAATCCTTCAGTAGTCCAATATTGGTCCCGGGAAAACGAGCATTTAAGTATACCATTAAGAACGCAGTACCCTCAAAAGGTAAATGTTTGGGCTGGCATTTTAGGCGATAATATTGTGGGTCCCTTTTTTATTGATGGTAACTTATATGCTGAGAGATACTTGCATTTATTACAAAATAGTGTTGTGCCAGCTGTACGAAACGTGGATGTAAATTTTGAGGAAAGTTAGTTTCAGCAAGACGGATGTTCTGCACACAACGTAATGCCAGTTCAAGATTATTAGGAACAAACTTTTCCTGAAAGGCTTATTTCCGCAAGAGGTATCATACCTTGGCCTCCTCGATCTCCAGATCTGACACCCTGCGACTTCTTTCTATGGGATCATTTAACGCAACTTCTCTGCAAACATCGACACGAAAGAGCCACAAATTTGGACGAATTACGGCTTAAAATTAGAAATATTTTGGGATCTGTTACTCCTGAAATTTTGTCAAATGTTCGTCAAGAATTTTACGACAGATTAGGGTATTGCGAAACTCAAGCAGGTGGTTTGTTTGAACACCTTATTAATTAATAATAAGCTTTATTTAATAAGCCTCTGAAAATAATTCATTATTTTGCTTAAGAATTACCACTCATTTTATTTTAGAATACCGTTTTAGTTTTTACGTCAAGTTCAAAGAGATTTGAAGGTCAAACGGTCAAAAAACCTTCTAAAAATTTGAAAAAATTCATGGACATGTTTTTGAGGTCGCTGAATCCGAATCCGGTGTTTATTTTTAATTCGCATGCATCCTCGAGGTCATTCAAGGTCATCTCAAGGCAGGTGTTCTAGTTCTGTGGCACAATTGTGCATTTTGCAGATTGAAATTGTTACCATGTTATGCATTGATGAGATTTATACCAGAAAAGATTCTTGGGAAAATGACTGTAGAATCCACGTAAAAAACCCTCAAATGACCTTGAGTTGACCTTGAATGATCTCGAGGATGCATGCAAAGTAAAAATAAACACCGGATTCGGATTCAGCGACCTCAAAAGCATGTCCATGAATTTTTTCAGATTTTTTGAAGGTTTTTGACCATTTGACTTTCAAATGACCTTGAAATGAGGTCGACTGACCTCAGATTCAGATTCAGGGTCCTCGAAAACATACGTATGAATTTTTTCAGATTTTTCGGATGGTAGTTTTTTTTGGAAGGTTTTTTGACCGTTTGACCTTCAAATGACCTTGAACTTGACGTGATGGGGCCTAACCGACCCGCTCATCTTAATCAGCGACCCCAAAAACCCTTGGATACCATCTTCGATTCCCGTGCACAAGCCTAGATAAAATGTTGACCTGTGTAATTATTGTTTAGTATTGTATCTCCCGTATGTACGTATCATAGAAGTACGTTGTTCCCAAATTTCTAATGCAAGACAGAGACAATAAAGTAATAGTCAAGACAATCTTAGAGCCGCAGGCTTTGCGCACTTCTTATGGCGTTTTTTTATTCCCTTATATCGATGGCATAAAGCATACAAATGATATGGGGGGCGGAGTCAGAATTGTTAGGGGAGACTGGTGAAATATTTATATAATCTGCTAACTATACAGGGTGAGTCAGTTTTTTGTAGACAAACTTTAACAGGAGATAGAACACATGTTTTTAAAAAGAAAAGTTCCTGTAAACATATGTCGTAGAAGGCTTCGTTTCCGAGATACAGGGTGTTGAATATAATTTTTTTTTCTCGAATTCTCATTATAACTTATAAACGAATGCTTAGATTTTTTTCATGTTTGAGGGATAATGCCTGTTAATTAAGGGGCATAAAACAAGCGATAAGAATGTTCAAAAACTTGCACAGTGGCGGAGTGGAGGGGGTGCTCAACCCCTTTCTTAAACAGAACTTCTACGCCAATGACTATTTTAAAAAAAAACT